GGTGTGTTCCACCACTCTCAGCCTCGTCTAGTTTTTTGAAATATATAGTACATTATTGTTATCTATAGTTATCCTACCATATAATAGCACACTAAAATTTCTTGCTCCGTCTAATTCTAATTTTTTTTTTTTTTGGTACCAGGAATCAAACTCATGACCTCATGCTTGCCAGGCAGGCACTTATGCCACTGAGCTATATCCCTGGCCCTCTAATTGTAATTTAAGGCCCATTTATTAACCTTTTCTCTCCCTCCCTTTTCCTCTCTTCAGCATTTGGTAACATTAGTCTTCTCTCAACTTCTATGAGATCATTTTTTTACATTCCACATATGAGTGAGATTATATGGTATTTGAACTTCTATCCCTGATTATTTCACTTAGCATTATGATCTCCAGTTCCATCCATGTTCTTGTAAATAACAAGATTTCATTCTTTCTATGGCTGGATAGTATTGCATGCTGTATAATTACCAAGTTTTTCTTTACCTATTCATCCACTAATGAACATTTTGGTTGTTTTCATTTATAACTATTGTGACTAGTACTGCAGTAAACATGGGAGTGCAAATGTTTCTTCAAAATACTGATTTCATTTCTTTTGCATGTATAATTAGTAGTGGGATTGCTAGATTATTATGAAAATCTTTAGTTTTTAGTTTTTTGAGGAAACTTCATGCTGTTTTCCATAATGGCTGTACTATTGTACAGTCCCCCAACATTGTATAAGCATTCGTTTTTTTCATGTCTTCACCAATGTTTGTTATTTTTAGTCTTTGATAATAGTCATTCTTATGCGGGTGAAATGATATCTCCATGTGGTTTTCATTCACATTTTCCTAATGATTAGTGATGTTCAGCACTTCTTCATAAATTTCTTGGCCATTTGTAAATCTTCTATTAAGAAATGTCTATTTAGGTCTATTGCCCATTTTTTATCGGATTGTTTTTGTAACAAGTTTTTGCAGGTCCTTATGCAGTCTGCAAATATTTTCTTCCATTCTGTAGGTTGTATTTTCACCTTGGTGACTGTTTCCTTTCCTCTGTAGAAGTTTTTCAATATAATATTCTGAAGTATTTCTTCTATGTTTCCTTCTGGTAGTTTCATAGCTTCAGATCTTACATCTAAGTCTTTGTTTTACTTTTCTAGCTACTTTTTCTAGCTACTTTTTTGAGTCAGAGTCTTACTATGTTGTCCAGATTGACCTTGAACTCAATGATCTTACTGCCTCAGCCTCTACAGTAACTGAGATGACAGGTTTGGCCAGCTACTTTTTAAATTAACATTCTGAGAATGAATTAACATCTGAGAAGAATGAGTAGTAGTTATATGGAAGACATCTGAGGAGAAAATTTGAATAGGATGGATGTTTAATGTGTGGGTATCTCTTCATATTGACTAGAACCACTGGCACTTTGACCTCCAACTTAGTCCTTGATGTACATAATCTCACTTAAACATCACAACAGTCCTGATAAGGTTTTATTGGAGATATTATCTCCATCTTAAAGATGTTGTGTGAACATGACCCAAGGCACAGAGTTGTTGCATGACAAACTTGGGTTTCAGTCCAAAGCCCAACAAACTGAGATGCTTAGCCCCAGCATCCAAAACATGAATTTCTGCTGACCTCTGAAAAACAGGAAAGAGCTTCCCACATATCTTAGTTATTTTACTCATTTCTGAGACAAAATACCGCATGCTCAAAGTTAAGGGAAGAAAGGTTTATTTGGTTCACAGTTTGTAGAGGTTTCAGTCGATAATCAGCTGGCTCCAAGGCAGGGTGGCACATTGCAGAGGGACAATAGTTCATGGCAGGAGAAGATAGCAAAAGCAAAGAGAGAGGGAAGCAGAGAGAGAAAGAGAGAGAGAGAGAGGTCTCTTTCTGTCCCTTATATTGTATGCAGGCTACCTGCCCACACCCTTAATCACAACACCTTTAATCCCAACATTGTCCTATGAATCAATCACACATTCTAGATTCAGCTACCTCCAAAAAAGCCCCTTCTAAAATTGCATAAGGCTTTAGGGGGACCTCTAGATGTAAACTATAATACCTAGTCCCCACAACTATTGCACTGAGGAAAGAAGTCCTAAAAAAATGTCGCAGAGAAGTATGAAACATAAAAGATGTGGAATCAAGATCTTACTCCCTACTTTACTACTTCCTAGCTGAAAGATTGTGGGCAAGTGACTTAGCACTGAGCATTGGTTTTCTCATCTAAAATGGAGATTACATGGCTGTGGTGAGTAATTATGTGTGAACTGTTCTGTTCTCCACAAAAATGTAATTTAGCCATAGACATTTCCCAGGAATTTTATCACAAACTATGGGAAGAACCTGGCTTCCATACTCGAGTCAGGTTGAACAGACCATCACTGTTCAAATGCAATGTTCTTGTTCCCATAACATCAGCAATGACACAGGGAGGGTCAGGCTAAGGGAGCCATTGCTCTAATAGGCTAACCACATTTGGAACATAGCTAAAGGCTCTTCTAAGTAACCACAAGATGAGGACAAACAGACTTAAGGGCACATCTCCAAGTGGCTGGGCTGCACTCAGGGACTTTGGAATTCTGTGGTTTGTCTCAGACTTTGGCAGGAGGAAAACGTCCCTGCTCCCAAATGAGTTGCTTCCATAAGAGTAAATGAAAATGAGTCAGATAAGGATGGAGAAACCACCAGAGAGAACTTTCCATGTAACGATCACGGTAAAGAGTAAAAAATGAACATAGAAGAACTCTAAGAACATGGATAGCTGATGTTTCCATCTTAATGAATCAATATGTGAAACATGTGGAATGACAGCATGCATGTGTGTGCATGTTCATGATCATGTGCAATGGATGGGAACCTTGTGTATGCTTCTGCCTCCTATTGGGTGGCTGACCAGCTGCTCTTTGACCAAGTGACTGGAAACCTATACAGTATTATTTTTAGAGAGTGAGCCAAGTTATTTTTAATATTAAAGAATTGCCCTTTAGAAATTTTGGACCAATTCCATTTTCACTCTGTTCCTGCAAACAAAGTAAAAGATGGTCTGTTTTCTTCACTAATGTAAACACTTAGTAGCACTTAGTAGCATTTCCTTTTTTACTTTAAAATGACACCTACGTGTATTACATGTACAGTTTCACTAAAATTGTGCAGAACACCATGACACTCTCCTTTTCCTACTCCTTGCTCCATCTCATTCCCTATTACAACCAACTTGACCAGCTCTGGTTTCAATTCTTATAATGGTTGCCACAAAATTCTAAATATTATGCTTACACTTCTATTCTCTTATTTATCAACTTTTGACATAATTATTGACTCCCGTTACTTGAAGGTTTGTGGTAAGTCATTGTCTCACTTTCTGTCTCTTCTGTTCTTCATAATTTCACTCTGTATTCCACTTGGATCCTCACTGCACAAATGAGAATTTCATCATCCAGTCTTTCCCTTCACTCTGTCTTCCCATTTCCTTCACCTCCTAACTTCCATCACCCCCATTATTCCTTTTGATTTTCAATATTAAATCAAAGATGCTTTGTCTAAGGATTAATTGTAAATATCAAAAACAAATATAGAGTTTTTATAATCTTGTAAACATATAAATGGTTTACTGAAAAATTAAGTGAAAAGGAAAATAATACTGGTTCTCTCAGAAGAAAATGAAAAGCAACAATCAAATGAATCATCATTTCTTATGCTAATCCTCAAAACTATGTTTAATTTGTGTTGCTTCTTACTTGCATTAGGATTTTACCTGTTTTTATTTTCTGAGATTTATACTTGCATGTAATTTTTAACTAGTTGACAATAGGAAGATATATCCTCACTATATTATAAAGATCACTCATTTTTTTGAGACAAGATCTCACTAATTTGCTAAATAAACCTAGATTGGACTCAGCTTCACGAGGTGCTAGGATTATAGGCATGGGCCACCACATCAGGCTAGAGAGTACCTAATTTCTTAAGCACCTTATTTTTTAAAATTTAATCACTGTCTTCTAGGTATGTAACACAGTTATCACTATGCTTTTTAATTTTAATTACACACTCAAGTTATTTCAATATTTCTTGGACCCAGTTCCTCCTTTTTTTTGATTCCTCTTTCATTTTACTGGTGTGAATACACAAGCAACCCTCAAAATAGATAAATAAGCATTTCAGCTTTGTTTTGTCTGTAGATTACCTCTAAAAATCAAAAATTAATAACCAGTTTTTTAGTACTATAATTGGAGACATGTAATATAATTTTCGAAGAACTAAGTAGTAAGACTCTGAAATATTCTCTATTTGCCCTCAACCTTGATGAATAGTTTGATTGAAATGATGATTCTAGATGGAAAATCACATTTTCTTGATACTGCAGCTGTATCTACCAAGTTACTTTCTGGCTTCCAAATTCCTGTCATAAAGACAAAGCCAAGTTAGTTCTTATATTTACTTGGTATTCTATTTTTATACCTCAGTCCTTACAAGCATTAAGAATATTTTCAGCACACTTCATATTCTGAATGTTACCGTGCTGTGTACGGGTCTTTGTGTATTATTTTTACTCAGTCCTCCATGAATCTTTCCAATCTGAAACTGCTGTGTTTTCTTTGATGTTTTTTTCCTCTCATCTTCTCTATTCTTTCTATAATTCCTGCTAGATGGATATTTGACTTCTTGAATTGATCCTATGTGTTTTCACCTTTTCCATTACATTTTTTCAGCTTTTCTTATGCTCTGCATTCTGAAATACAAGGAGTGACTGAAACATATGGTGTGGTAAAGGTTTAAGTGTTTGAGTCTTTTTAAAAAACTTATTAAAATAGAAAACACATTGCCAAAAAATAATGGCATGAGAGTGCTCCAAGCAAGAGGAAGCATTATGAGTATTTGAGAGGGATTAATGGCAATGTGTTTCTATAGCAATAAACCTTTTTATTTAAACATACACTGTAAGTTTTGATCACTGTTCATTGATCAACCGTTTATGGTAATTTCTGTCCAATAACATTACAGTGCATCCTCATCCATGTTCTTCACCAGATATGGGACCGTGGGGCTTCTGGCTCTTCCTCAATGTCAAAATGACCATGAAAGGTAAACATTTGAATTGGCTTGGGACATTGAGGTGACTATGACAGTATGACTAAAGATCCTCATGAAAGAGGACTTCCAGAACTGCTTCAAGAAGTGGCAAGAATGATGGGATAAATTTCTTCAAAGTAAGTTTTATTATGAGGAGGATTCATGTCCTTTATTATAATACATTTTTAAAAAATTAAATATTTACAGCATTTTTCAATCATACCTCATATTTCCTCAAACTGTCTTCTCCCACTGATGCATAATTTTCAAGAATTGTGGCCATCCTTACGGATCCACACTTAGGAGTACATGTCTGTTGGTAGAGCCTAAGAATTCATAAGAACTCACACTGCTGACTTTAGATTATAAGGGTGAAAAGTATGCTGACAGTTGCTTCCTATAGCCTTGCATGTTCCCTCTCAGGTGCAAGACAAGGAAAACTTCACTCTGGAAGGCCAACCCTCTGTCAAGGAACCATAGACTTCTCCAGATAGACCAGTAAATACCTTTGAATGACAGACCCATCTTTATACATAACCAGTGCATGGCCAGCTGCTTTGCACCCACAGCTGGAGAAGTGGGGGAGTGCCCCACAAATAATCCTTCAAATAGTTATCCTGATTGGCCACCCATTCCTACTTTCTCTTTATGTAAACTTGGAGACTGGCACCTGCATTAATTAATCAGGGTTCTCTATGGAAACATAACAAATTTAGTAGAGATTTAGTAGAGGGAGTTGGTTCGCACAGTTATAGAGGCTGAGAAGTCCTATGATCTACTTTCTGCAAGCTGGAGATCTGGAGAAACTAGTGATGTTATTTTATTCCAAGGGCAGAAGAAAACCAATGCCTTTGCTGGAACAGATAGATTGGAAAATGAGAGAGGTGAATTCCTACCCTTTCCGACTTTTATTTTACCTTCATTTAACCTTAACTACCTCCTTTAAGGCCCTCTCCACAAATATAGTCGCACTATGGGTAAGGAATTAGGTTTTCAACATATGAATTTTGGGGTGACACATTTTAGTTCATAACAGTATTGGATAAGCACCCATGGTTATATAATTAATTAATTAATACTCTGGCTACTTTCTAGGGGGTCTGCAAAAGCCACCCTGTGAATTTTAAAGCCACCTTAAAAACCATAAGGACAGTGAAACTGCATTTCTTGTCCACATTCTTCTTATTCTTCCTCAAGGTGGATGTCATTGATAGTATGATTACATTTCCAAGGTTATCGAGTTTGCAGGTTTTACAGTGTTCCTGTGAGGTGGTGTGGACTTGTTCATTCATCACTCAACAAACATGCACATGTCCATCATCTTCAGCCACACTCTACCCCAATGTTGGGACATGACTTATCTATTCTTCCTCTACCACTGCTGTGTTTTAAATGCTTGTATGCCCCACCATTTATATTTTGAAGCCTAATCCCCAGTATGCTGGTGTTAGGAGCTAGGCCTTTGGGAGAGAATTAGGTCATGAGGGTGGGGATCTCAAGAATGGATTAGTGCCTTTAAAAAAGAGACAGCTGCCTTCCCCTTCCAACATGAGTAGACAGCAAGAAGGCTCCATCTATGAACCAGGAAGTGGGCTCTTACCAGACATGGAAACTGTTGACCCCTTGGTATTAGACTTCCCAGCCTTCAGAACTGTGAGAAACAAGTTTCTGATGTATAAAATTGACCCAGTTTAAGGTATTTTTGTTATAGCATCACAAACACCCACCCACATACAGTAGTAACAGCCTGAGCGCTGTATGCATCTTCGGGGGAAAGCAGAAGTCTCACTTAGGTTTACACCCTTGACTGTGTGCTCTGCTTCTCTTCCCCAGATCTCTGTGGGTGAAAGTGAAAGCAACCACAGTGGTACAGTGAGTAAATAGCTGTGCTCTGCTCTCTGTTTGCACCTCTCTCTCCCCTCACAGGGAAGAGGCATCCTCAGCAAGAAGAACGTGGACATTTCTTGAGCCTCTCACAAAATGGCATTAAAATGGACATCATTTTCAATGATCCAAACATTGTATGTCCCACCTAATAAAATCGTATGAAAATAAGAAAGCCCTGGTTTTGAACTATAAATGTGTTGCTCCCACACTGAGTGCCTGACCATAGTGGAATGTTTCTGGTACCTTGAGTGACTTCTCAAGTTTCTTACTCCCTTTCATGAGTGGACCCAGGTCATCTCCAGGACTCTCCTGACCTCCTAGGATATCACAGCTCATTGTTGTTTCACTGTCAAAGGATTCCAAAATGCTCATATCTACTCTAAATCCTTTGGCTTTCAGAAATATCCCCAACACATTTACACTTTGCAAAGTGTTTTCACATGCTATTGTTTAATTTTCACAAGTATTTTATGAGACAACAGGGACTCAGCCATCCACTCAGCAAGCACCAATGGACAGTTAGACACCATGACAGGTGCAGAGGAGATAAGCACAGGCTGTCCACCTTTAAGGAGTTCAGAAGCCACTGGGGACAGAGATAATGTAGAGGCCATAGCCACTTGGTGTGCTAGGGGCTGTGGCAGGAAAAAAGGTTAGAGCATAGAAGAAACCCATTCCAGCTCAGAAGGACCAGGAGGTCTCCTGAGGCATGGTTAGAGGTAGAATGCAAAGCCTAGGAAGGAGATGGGCAGAAAAGGAGTGAAGAGACCAGATTCAAGTGAGTTTATGTCAAGATATATTAAAGACTTTGGATTTCAGCTCTAGGAGAAATAAATAGTATTCACAGAGTTTTAAGCAAGAGAGACATGTAGACAAGGCTTGCAATTTAATAAGAGTAGTCAGGCAATGGGGATGCTAGACTAGGAGAGGGGGAGACGGGAAGACACTGAAGTGATAGGAGAAGGAGAAGGTGGGATTCCAATCTGGGACAGCAGCAGTGAGGAGATGGAGCAGGGATAAGTTCGAGAGACATTTAAGGGGCCTATACAGGACTTGTGCCTGAATGAACAGGGGAAGTGTAGGGCGAGCTAGGGAAGATACCCTGACTTCTGTATGGGTCCAGGAATGGATGATGGTGCTGGATGAGAAGAGCAAACAGATGATTGATTGTATACGTTGGATTTAGGTGCCTGAAAATCCAAAGCAAAATGTTCAGAGGAGTTTTGGTTCAAGGCTCAGGAACTCAGTGGAGAAATCTGGCTTGGAAATAAGGATGTGGAACACACTGCCATATGGGCAATAGTTGATATCACAGAAGTATGTGGGTTCCAGCGGGGAGGATCAGAAGCCTGAGGGCATAAGGGTGGCCTAGGATTTCACAGCTGGACTGCTCATATCCACTCTAAACCCTTTGGCTTTCAGAAACATCCCCAACACTAGGATTTCTGAGCTAGACTGAAGCCAGGCCTTCTGGCTTTTTAATTTTAGGATGCTACCCTTGAGCAGCAGCCCCCTTCACAGGTTGCTATCAAGAGGCTGAGAGTAGCTCAAATATGTACCACAGAAATACCTTACTCTAAACCCTTTGGCTTTCAGAAACATCCCCAACACTAGGATTTCTGAGCTAGACTGAAGCCAGGCCTTCTGGCTTTTTAATTTTAGGATGCTACCCTTGAGCAGCAGCCCCCTTCACAGGTTGCTATCAAGAGGCTGAGAGTAGCTCAAATATGTACCACAGAAATACCTTTGCATGGGATAAGGAAGAAATACAATGTTTGCCAGCATGTTCGCCTCTTGTCTTATCCTTACAGCTGCCCTTCAGAGCCTCTGAATGCCTGCCTCCTTCCCTACACTGTCCAAGCCAGGGCCTTTCCCTTCCACCCCTCTCCATTGGAGTCTGCCTGTGTTAGTTCCATCCTATCTCCACTCTGAAATTGAAGCTGTCTGGTTAGCCATGTGAGAAAGCAATTTCTGCTAAGAGGAGTAATAAAAGGTCAATAAGAAATCCATCCCATGCTATCCTGTCCTTTTAACTAGAATTCCTGGAGATGTGTAAATAGCATTGTTAAAAGCAAAAACTTCAAGCAGTTTGACAGACCATTTAGGAAAATATATCATATAAGCAGGAAAAGAACCAAGAGAAAAAGCTGGGGACCAGATCACCAGGGGTACTTCATATCATCACAGGAAGGTGTCTGAATTTGAGTTCATTCAACAAGGTGAGGCAGGAGCTGCTGGACCACAAGCCCTTCCCTGTCAAGACAGTTGACATTCAGTTTCAATACCTGGCAGAAGAGTGAGTACTTGAGTCTACACACACACACACACACACACAGACACACACACACACACACAGACACACACACACACAGACACACACAGAGAGAGAGACACACACACACACAGACACACACACACACACCCCAGAGGCATCCCTTGCCTCCTGGTCTGTAATATAACAGGGTCAGAGACAGGGTGGCTCTCAGATCAAGGCTACATATCCCAAATCTGTCTTCTTAAGTGCTATGAGCGATGTCAAGGGCAGAACCAGTGTCAGCCAGGCTAGAAACCCACTCAGAAACACTGGCATACTAAGTGATGAGTTGAAAGAAATTCTTTGGTGAGGAGGGAGCCAAATATAATTTGCTATATCCAAGGTAATGCAAATGGAGGAGGGAGGACCAACAAGGAAAAGTCATTTAAAGGAAGTACAAACTTGGAAAAATGAAGGAATGCTTATAAAACACCCTGTCTTGCTGTCTGGTTTCTGCTTTGCCAGACACAACACACAGTGACTCCAAGGTCATTGAAAGAAGTCCCTGGAGATGGAGTTCAGGGTGGAGTAGTGGTGTCCAGCATATGAGGCCCAGCGAACAGTTTAGCTCAGGGTCTCAAGACTCTGAAGCAGGCCCCAGGGATGCTTCCTGGGCAGCAATCAGAGTGCCCAGCCCTTCCACTGTTACTGAGCGACCACAGGTGGGAGCCTGAGACCAGCCTGTCTCCCAGCTACAGACAGGAAATTCGATTGGGAATAGAAGGTAATGGAGTTCATAGAGTCACATGCTCTCTAGCTGGAACGGAGTGTAAGGCTGTCCAGTCCCTCTCTTACCAGTTCGTGTCTGATTTCCCTCAACAGCATTCTCACCAAGTGGGCATGAAGCCAGAGACTGAATAGCTCTTATGACCGGAAACTCTTATCCTCCAAGGAAGCTCATTTTTGCCTTTGGGCAATTCTGGCCAGAAGAGAGATCTTACTAATGCGGAATCCAGATGCCTTTCTCACTTCAACTGCCTTGGGGGAGATGATCTTTTGCAGTTGTGTGGAATGTGTTTTTACTGCCTGTTCCAAGTTTGTCTGAACACCTGGGTCTAATTGGATGCTAGTCTGACCAGCCACCCTGTGCCTCCAAACAGCAGTGACAGGGGCATCTTAAGCAGCAGGTCACAAAGCAGGGAGGGGTCTGCCTTTTTCACCTCTGAATCCTCAGGGGCTACCCCTGTGACTGACATTAGAGAAACAAAATAAATGTTTTCTAAGAAATGAATGAACAAACCTAAGGGTTTGGCATTTATTCCATCAGGAAATATAAATGGCATTAGTGTAAGGACTGCCAAAGGATTTATGAAATTTAAATGTGGGCTTAAAGGACATGCAGGGTTCTTTTCAGCAAGGTCATTTTAACCACTCCTTTAACCCAGAGCATTCAGGTCTGGTAGGTACCAAATTTTGTGCTGGGCTTTTGCAGTGGATCTCTACTTGAAGAGATATGTGAGCTCTTTTATCATATTGAAAATTCCTCCTAGATTTTTCCTTTAGAAAGTTGTTTTAGTTTATTACATAACTCCCAAAGTGCTAAGATGATATGAAGCAGACATTGAGGACTAAACATAATACATGCCCAGATGCTCCAAAATATTTGTTGAATGAATGAATGGCTGAGAGTAAGGTTTTGAAGTGACTTTATTAACAGCAGGTATTAGAACAAAGAATAAAAGGGTTGAATTTTCAGCAGAACAAAGGAATCAAAAATGTTTCTATCTCTAAATAACTTACCTTCAAAATATATGATAGTGAAACAAATATCTATACTACTGAAAGAAGTTATACAATTCACAATTACAATCAGATATTTCAACACTTGCCTCTCAATAGTGGATAAAAGCAGAAATAAAATCAGTAAAGATATTAATGACCTAAGCAACACTGTAATCCAACTTGACGTAATTGACATTTATAGAATTATCCACCAAAAAAAAGGTAACAAAAGAAGAATACACATTCTTTTCAAATGCATATAGAACATTTCAAAAATAGAGCATTTTCTGGGGCATAAAACAAGTTTCAATACACTTAAAAGGACTGAGGTTATATAAAGGATTGAAGTTATATCAAATATGTTCTCTAACCAAAATAGAATTAAGCAGAAAATCAGTAATAGAAAGATATCTGGAAAATCCCCAAATATTTGGGAGCTAAATTTCATTCTTATAAATAACCCATAAATCAAAAATTAAAATCATAAAAGAAATTAGAATGTATTTGAAATGAATAAATTTTAAATACCACATATACGCGTAAGCATAAATATGTAAAAGTCTATACTGATATAAATAAATAATTGAATAAATAAATGCAGAAAAAGAAAAAAATTTCTCACATGGAATAATCCTAAATAACTTATGTAGATACTCTGCCCTTGAGGGGGTGACTACCTCCATAAGTATGGGCTGCACATAGTGACTTCCACTCGAAGGGCACAGTATTTGGAGTAACTTTCCAGTGGAGAAACATGACAAATACTTCAGTCAAGTGATCAAGATTCTCATCAACGGTAATAAATCACATTCACAGTGTGCATTCTTGACAGAATGTGATGAAAATAGCATTTTACCTCTGTACTCTTCCTCCTAAAATCCCATAACTCCAGACTAATTAGGAGAAAAGTACTAGACAAATCCCAGCTAGAAGGTAGTCTACAAAATAGCTGACCAGTGTTCCTCCAAATTGTCACCATCATCACAAGCAGAAAAGTCTGAAAAATCACCACAGCGAGGAGAAACCTAGAAAGCCATGACAACTAAACGCAGGCTAGACATGATCCTAGAACAGAAAAAGGGACATTAAGTAAAAACTAAG